TATTGTTTCAAAAAATAAATGCCAATGAGTTTCATTGTGAAATGTGTCAAATGGCCAAACAACATAGAGTGTCCTATCTTTTAGGTAATTCCGGATCATCCGAACCTTTCTCTTTAGTCCATACATATGTTTAGGGGCCATCAAGAATTTCAAACATTAGTGGGGCTCGTTGGTTTGTTTCATTTATAGACGATTATTCTCGGACTACTTGGCTTTTTTTAATGAAAAATAAATCGATGTGATTGTTATTTTTCTCATATTTCATAAAATGATTCTTACGGAATTTAGGATTTATATTCGGTAAATTCGTTCGATAATAGGAGGGAATATTTTAATCAAAAGTTGTCACCATTTCTTCAACACACATGGCATAATTCATGAGTCTTCTTGTGTTGACACCCCGAACGGAATAGGGTTGCGAAAGGAAAAATCGTCATCTTCAAAGGTAACTCATGCCCTATTATTTAAGAAAAATGTTCCTAAATTCTATTAGGGAAAAGTCTGTTTTACTAGCCATATACCTCATTAATCGATTACCTAGTAGAGTACTACTAAAAAAGTCTCCCATTGACATATTATTTGAATCATTTCCTCATATAAAACACTCATAACTTTCCATACAAACCTTTAGTTGTATTGGCTATGTCCATATTCGGAAAAAGGATAGAAATAGTAAATTTGATCCAAAAGCCTTAAAGTCAATTTTCTTAGGATATTCCTCAACACAAAAAGGGTACAAGTGTTATCACCCAAGTACTAGGAAGTTCTACATATCAAAAGATGTTGCTTTTGCTAAAATTCAAGGGTTTTATAATCGGACTTGGTCTTTCGAGAGAGCCCAAATTAAAAGACAACTCGGACTTAAACTTCTTTACTTTTGATCTTAACTCAAGCATCTTAACCTTAACACCTAACTTGAGTAAAGAAAGAATTTCTTTAGAAGATAAATCCTCAAACATTCCTTCTTCTCTAGAAAATCCAATACCTCTTCTCAGCCTAGTCCAAGGTTCTATTTCAACTCATCATAATCGTCTAATACCACCATTACAGGTGTACTCGAGAAGAAAGTCTAATCCTAAACTAGCAATGGTCCAATCATCGAACCCGTACAAGATCGAAGCTTCCAAAATAGGTAACAATACAAACCCTTTAACACCGAATTTCATGACCTCTCTTTACATATTACACTCAAAAAAGGAACACGTAACCGCACATAACACTCAATAACCAATTTTATCTCATTTACCAACCTATCTCCTTCACATGGGGCCTTTCTAACCGAGTTAAACACTATTGAGATTCCAAAAATTGTTCAAAAAGCACTTAAAAGTGAGGAATGAAAAAATGCTATGATTGAGGAAATGAGAGCACTTGAGAAAAATAAAACTTGGGAGATTGTTGAGTTGCCTAAAGGAAAAAAATTAATTGGGTGTAAGTGAGTGTTTACGGTGAAATATAATACGGATGAGACACTCGAGAGATATAAAGCCGAGCTTGTTGCCAAAGGTTTTACTCAAACATATGAGGTAGATTATGTAGAAACTTTTGCACTAGTGGCAAAACTAAACACCATTAGGATATTATTATCCTTGACGACCAATCTTGATTGGACTTTATAATAATTTGATGTAAAAAATGCATTTTCACACGATGATCTAAAAGAGGAAGCCTATATAGAACTACCACCCGAATTCAATCAAGCTTTTGGTAGTAACAATGTATGCGAGGTTAAGAAAGGCTCTCTATGGCTTAAAGTAGTCTCCACGAGCATGGTTTAGAAGATTTACCTAAGCCATGGAACGAATGAAGTTCAAGCAAAGCCTAGGAGATCATACATTCATCATCAAACGATCAAAAGAGAGCGGGATCACTGCCGTAATAGTTTACTTAGATGATATCATTGTGACGGGAGATGATTTTGAGGAGAAAAAGAAACTACGATGGAGTTTAAGACAAAAAAAATCTAGGAAAACTCAAGTATTTCCTAGGAATTAAGGTTGCACATTCAAAAACTAGGATTTTTATCTCTCAATAGAAATATATCCTGGATTTACTCAAGGAAACGAGATATGATGAGGTGCAAACCTTCGAAATTCCTATTGATTATCATCACAAGTTGGGTGACGCTATAAATGGTCCGGAAGTTGACGAGGGAATATATCAAAGGTCGATTGGGAAGTTCATTTATCTTGCTTATACAAGATCGGATATAGTCCATGCATTAAGTGTTCTAAGCCGGTTTATGCATACTCCTCGAGAAATACACTTACAAGCTGCACACAAAGTCCTTCGATATCTCGAGAGCACTCTCGAAAAAGGAATCCTATTCAAAAGAAATGGAAGACTCAACTTGGAAGCATACATAGACGTGGATTAGGTAGGGTCTCTAGTTGATCGAAGATCTACCTCGGGGCATTGTACCTTTCTTATGGGAAATTTTATAACTTGGAGGAGTAAGAAACAATCGGTAGTTTCCGGATCAAGTGCTAAAGTCGAGTTTCGAGTAATGGCCTAAAAAATATACGAGCTATTATGGATAACAATTATTCTAGAAGATTTAGGGATATATTGGGAAAGAACTATGAAGTTGTATTGTGAAAATAAATCGACTATCAATATCGCATACAATCTCGTTCAACATGATCGAACAAAACATGTGAAAATTGATCATCATTTCATTAACGAGAAGCTCGAGAATGGACTCATTTGCACACCTAATATCCTCACCAACAAACAAGCTGCGGATATCCTAACGAAAGGACTTCCAAGCACAATATTTCAAAGTATCACCAACAAAATAGGAATGGAAAATATTCATTCAATAGCTTGAGGAGGAGTGTTGACGAATTTGTCTAGATTCATTGGATCGATTCTCGGGGAAATTATTCCCCGATTTTCCTAGTAATAATTTTCCAATTTGCCTAGTCAATGCAAGTTGTGATAATTGGCTATAATTACAACCATTAATTCTAATTTTCGTAATTAAAGGTTTTCTAGTTTAGATTGTATATTAAAGTAGCTCATACCCTTGTAATCTATAAATATATGTACGCCTTTTTCAATAAGAATAACACAATATTTTTATGTGTTCAATTATCATTAATGATAAACAAATAATTTCAAAAAATGAACTTATTGGTCAATAAAGTCTTTTATTGAATGTATTAAAATTATAAAATAAAATAATTGAAAATACTAATGACTTTTCCTTTGAAATTTATCCGGCGTCACCTTTCCACATATTCACAATGTTTAAGAATTCAAGGTGGTAATTATCCGGTGACAATGGATCCACTTCTTCTAGTATGGTCAATTATAAAACATAGAGATCCTCTCTATTTGATTGTCAAATTAGCAATTGAATCGTCAAAATGCATTTGAGGCTAACTATGTAGGGATTTTCTAAATTATGAATTCTTATAGAGAAGAAAACCTCCATTTTCTTAGGCATGACAGGAGAATATCCCCAAAGATATACTTGAATCCGCAACATGCGAGATTGTAGCGAGTCTTTTTAACTCGTTACAAGTAAAGGAGATTTGAGAGATTTTGTCGAGCCTAAAAGATGTAGGTTTTTAACAATTATTGATGGCCATAGCTTTTTGCTTACGGTGACTCACATGTTGCTTTTTCAAACATTGGCGTGACGATGCTTGCTTTTGGAAACATTGGCATGGCTTGACCTAGCATTGAAGGTGCATTTAATGCTAGGCATGACTTGACCTTGGATAGGTAAGAGTTATGCTTGGATAGATAATGAAGGTCTCGATGGGGTATACTCGATTTATGAAAATGGAGGTCAATGATTACGTACGGTTAACTTCGGTTTGAGAGTGGATGAAGTGACATTCAAATCTTTATAAAGGTTGTAAAGTTATCAAAGCCAAATTAATAGATTGATATAGAAACTTTATGATTTGGAGTTTAACTCGAGCTGAATTTAAAGTTAAATGAGTTGAGAAGTTGATTTAGACAAGTCCAATTAATTCAAACAAAACTTAGTTGATCCGATGGATTTGACTTGCTTAAATATTGACTTCAAAAATAATAATTAAAAAAATATAAATTTCTAAATTAAGATTCGAAAAGAATGGTTCGTGGGATTTGAAAAATTGCCTTTTTTTTCACTTATATCATTACCAAATTGTATGTGAATAAATTTGTGATATAAATAATAATTAATATATGTTTGATATTTTATTATTCTCCTATGTCAACTAGCGATTTGATGATCTCGAAACCTCGGTCGAGTCAAGTTTCAAGTTAGGTCCGGTAACTATAGAAGACGATTTTAGAAGGAAAAGACATCTCAAACTCCAAAAACTTATCATATCATCAAATTGTGTTAATGTGTATATTTTGAGATATTAGTGTAAATTTGATGATTTTAGACTTTTTTCTCTCTTTTTATTTTGTTTATTTAATGATGTACATATATCGGATATAAGATATCCGATGGTTTTATTGATTGTTTTCAATAGAGATTGGATGGAATAATGATATTGAAAACATCTTAGAGTGCCACAAGTAAAATTGATTGTCAAACTGATAAGAAGTAACATTCTAAACAAATGAATATGATGATGATACGTAATAGAACAATTTACAAAAATTAAAGAAACTAAGTCGCCAAAAATTTGAAGTTGAGATCTCGTGCGAGAGTCATCATCGGTAATAAATAAAAATACTCTCAAAAGTTTCGACTTATACGTGGAAATTTAAAAATTACATTTAATAAACGAGGGTCAAAGGCTTTCTTAGGTTTATGTTGAACTTTGGGACAGAATGAAAATAAAGCGATACCTAAAGGGACTGATTTGTTGTTTTCCATAAAATGGAAACCCTAAGTTGCACCCGATAAAACAAGAATAAATCGTGGCCGTTGATTTGCATCGTTTAAACACTAGGGTTTTACTAGTATTTTAGCAGCAGCAGCTCTTTAGCCTCTCTGTTTCTTTTTCTCTGTTAAGCAGGCTCTGCTGCTACCCTGAGGATCATCAATGGTAAGTATCACAACCCATCTAAGCTTTTTTCTTGTTCTTTCACGGCTCTCTATTATTATTTAAAGATTTCATTTTCGGTTTTGCTTTGTCTTTATTCTTTTGTCCTAGATCTTTTGCTATTTATTCTTGTTTGGTTTAGCTTGCTGCTCTGGTTTTGTGTTCTAGAAAAAGCTGAACTGATAGAGTGAAATGATTGGCTTACTACCAGTTGAGTGATTTTTGTTATTGTAATAACAATTTGAACTTTGGCAAACAAGCTGTTCATGTCTTATTTTGATGATGACGTATAAATTATTGATAACGAGACAGTAAAGTTTTTCTAAATTTGATTTATGTTAATTCAGTTTTGTTCCTCCAGAGATTCACCTCTCTTTATATGTTTTTTGCGCATTTGATTATTATGATGATACAATGGAATTTTTCTTAACGATGCTGTAGACTTGAGTTTATACAACCAATAGAAACATGTTATAGAATGCTTTTGAGTGCATGCTAAGTGATAAAGTATTGGTTATGATGTTGTTTATTGTTCATAACAGGCATTTGTCAAATCCCAAAAGTCGAGAGCTTACTTCAAGCGATTTCAAGTGAAATTCAAGAGAAGAAGAGGTAAAATTTTCATTTCTTTTCAGGTGGATTTCTATCTTTTGATTGCTTCCTTTTTGATGTGTGAACATTTATTTGAACTACACAGCTGGCAAGACGGATTACAGGGCAAGGATTCGTCTTATCAATCAGGACAAAAACAAATACAACACTCCAAAATACCGATTTGTTGTGCGATTTGTATCCAGCAACCATTTTAATATAATCAGTGTGTTTTTGGTTATTTTGTTATTGCTGTTAGATATCATGTTACAGTAGGTTATTCATTTATTTTACTTTTTATTGTTCTCACCTTAACACCCATGTTAGACCAACAAAGATGTAACAGCACAAATCATACACGCTAGCATTGCTGGTGATATTGTTGTTGCTGCTGCCTATTCCCATGAGCTACCCCGCTACGGCCTTGAAGTGGGTCTTACAAATTATGCAGCAGGTATAACACTGTCTTATAATACTTGAGATCTTTGTTTCTTTCAATCAAGTGCTCTAATTGCCATTGCAATGATTCCAGCTTACTGTACTGGGCTTCTCTTAGCCCGTCGAGTTCTGAAAAAGCTTGAGATGGACGAGGAGTATGAGGGAAATGTTGAGGTATATGTCTGATTCATAGTGGAATATCAATATGAAAGTTATTCTATTCTATTCTACTTGGATGGATTGTTAGATACATAACACTTCCTGCACACAGGCAACTGGAGAAGATTACTCTGTTGAACCAGCAGATACCAGAAGGCCTTTTCGTGCTCTCCTTGATGTTGGTCTCGTGAGGACAACAACTGGGAATCGGGTTTTTGGTGCCCTCAAGGTATTCATCATCCCCTGTGTAGTTCAGCTTAAATTCAAGTCAGAGGAAAACAATTTATTCCAATTTTTGATTTGAGCACTTCTCATCCTCTTATATTTTGCCTACTTTTTGGTCCTAATGGATTAGCAATGCTCTTCTATAAATTGTAATTGTGAAAATGAGTAAACTTCATAATAAAACCTGTAGCCTTTAAAACAAAATTTAGTGGGCAATTTCATGATGACCATATTCTCAGTCATGGTTGTCAAGATAATTTATGAACTGATTTACAAACATGAAGATCTTGTTACTTCTGTTGTCTCGAGGAAACAAACAATCAATAACTGAACATTGTTATTCTTTTCAAATTTAGGGAGCTTTGGATGGTGGACTTGATATTCCTCATAGTGATAAGAGATTTGCTGGATTCAGCAAGGATGGCAAACAGCTTGATGCTGAAGTTCACCGCAAGTACATCTATGGTGGTCATGTTGCTGCATATATGAGGGTAAGGCTCTTATTTATCTGGATTCTTGGATGTTATATGCTTTTGCTGCAACTTAATTATAGGCATGAGGCCTCTCTATACAGACTATTTGTTCTCCTTTTAATTTTATTGCTAACTTGTGCAGAATTTGATGGAAGATGAGCCTGAGAAGTATCAGTCTCATTTCAGTGAGTACATCAAGAGAGGTATTGAACCTGATAACATTGAGGAGCTGTACAAGAAGGTTCATGCTGCCATACGTGCAGACCCGACTGCAAAGAAAAGTGAGAAGCAACCTCCAAAGGAGCACAAGAGGTGTGATTTCTACTCCAAACTCCCCACCCACCCACACACACATCAACTCTTGGCAAAAAAGAGTTGCTGTTTAATCCATGAATTAAATCAATTCTAATACCCAATTTGATGGCTCTTAAGCTTATTTCTTTTTATTTGTTTACAAGGATCCTTGTTGACAGCAGCATGCTAAGTGGGCTACGGCTCATTGGCAATGTTCCTTTTAGTTGATTGTCTTTTGGTGACAACTTTTCATGAAGACCATTCTGGATCCTTATTGATGATTTTTGTGCAATGTGATTTGTTGTTTACGATGTTGATTTTTTCTGCAGATACAACCTTAAGAAGCTGACCTATGAGGAACGCAAGGCCAAGTTGGTTGAAAGGTTGAAAGCTCTCAATTCTGCTGCAGATGATGAAGATGATGAGTAAATTCTGCTGTAGATTTTAATGCTTATCCTAAACTACGGTATTAGTTGTTCATTTAGCGAAGATGAGTAATAGTTATTTTAGGTCGTATTGCTGTATAATTTTATTTTGGATTGATTGGAGCTGCTGATGCAGCAACGTCTTTCAAGATCAATGAATTGAATGGCACCGGTTTGTGGACATCATCGTGTGCAATTCTGTTTGGGTTGCATATTGAATTTTTGATATCTTATATCTGTGATTAGAAGATTACATGCAAAAAAAGGATGCCTTTGTTGTTTTCTAATCAACTTGGACTAGTTTACTGATTTATCTAAAGTTCCATTACGGGATAAGGAATGGTCTACGGAGATAGTGGCAAACCGTATATCCTCGTTGGAATTCGACGAAACCAAGAGCACCATGACGGATGCATTTAAGAAAATAATTAGAGAGTTTTTAATGTCTGCAAAGATAACATTAGGGATGATGTAATGGCTGCAAAGATTTTTTTTGGTTCGTTGACTAGACGGTCTCTCCCTACTCTCCCATTAGATGTGTTGTTTTAATTGGGTATGAGACTCTCAAGTCCCTTCTCATTTTCACTTATCAGAGTAACGTTTTACTATCTTCTTATCATAATCCACAACCAAAAATACCAATATTTAGGAAAAATTAAGTTGTTTTTGAGGTACAAAAGGAAATGAAGCAAGCAGTGTGGAACCGAGGAAGGGCAGATTTGGAAGAAAGGTAATAAAATTGCTCCTCGTTGTTCCAAATCGCACCTAGACTCGGATTTCTTTCATACTTGTTGATTGTTGTAACCCATAGTCCTGTAAAACGTGTCTAAGGGTATGGGTTTGCCGTGGCGTCTGTGCAGTGGTACGTTATTATTTATCCTTATTCTGCTTGATCATGAAAATGATTCTATAGCATCCTTGCTCTGTAGTTCTTTATCTTCAACGGAATTTTTTCAGTATAAAAAAGCGACTGTTATTTAGCTTCAAGTACCTTTCCCCCAGAATCTGTGAAACCAGATCCTTGTAAAAGTCATGGACAAGCAGGGGGCTTTGGGAAACCATCCTCTATTTATAATTGGCACATGATTAACAACTGCAAGGACACAAATTTATTTATGATTGTCACATGATTAACTGCAAGGACACAAATTTAACAGGAGCAGTTATAGCAATTGCCCACTATGATATCCACCAGGAGAACATATAATTTGAATAAAATGAAAAGATGAAAACACCAATACAGATTATCAGCCATCTCATCAAGAGGTGGTGTCATTTAGAACATACAGTAAGGCCTACACAAATATTTTGTGGAGGACACAATTTTGTTCTTCCAGAATGGATTATTTTTTCAAGCAAATAACAGATACATAGCATACAAAACCTGAAGTAGGAGTGGCATGTTCATCATAGCAGACCAGACCTAGAAAGGTAGGAGTGGTATGTCCTCCATCTGAACCGTTCCATCATAGAGCTCTAGAATCTTGTGATTTCTCAAGAAAAAATGGGCATGGATTTAATCAGCTCAGTTGCTAGTACCGTTTCCCCATACATTATCCCACGCACCACTTGGAGCAGCCTTTGGCCCTTCAATGTAGCTCTGATTCCCTCGGGGGTTGTGGGGGGCAGGCAATCCATCAGGTCCCGGGCCTTGTACTTTCCGGGGCTTTGATTTGATTCCCAACAATCTCAAAACAAATCTAGCTAACTCTCCATACAACAACCCTGAACGGTCAAAGAGCTGCAAGTGACAAGTCATGAGTCACTGTGCAAGGACATTATCATGAAGCATAACTCAACTGAAGGTACAATGAGATTCCTGATTCAACTGTCATTTTCCATTGTAATATCAAGTTTATTTTCAGAGAAAGGAGAAGTGAACATCAAAAGAGCTTAACCTGAAGAAGGGCAGACATGAACATGTGGAATGCCTGGGTGTTCTGGTCAATCAAAAATGATATCCGGCCAAAAACATTCACAACGCCTTGCATCTGTCATAAAGTTCAAATCAACAAAACATCAAGCAGTTGAACCTCACAAGGGAAAGGCATAGCAGATTAAAGGAATGCCATTTAATCCATTAATTTGTCATTGCTAGTTTACATAACAAATCAGATGTTCTGTTAAATAAGAATAGTGCATTTACTTCTCTCTCTTTAACCTGAAAAACTACTTCTGCATCCCAGATAGCCTGGGAGTACAAGACTTGGTCAAGTTGGTATTGTAAAACAGCACATTAGGAGACAATAAATATTGCCCTTCAAATATGGAACTCCAATCATGGTGAATCAGATGGTTCTCAATGAAATACTCTGCCAGTAAGAGATAATGAAATGAAACCATGCATTTTGTGCAAGCTTTCCTAGTTCCAAACCAATTCCTGTGGATTTTAGTGGCTTCTTGTTCTATTCTACTACCACGGCCAGAGAGCAAAAAAGCACTGGTATTTTCTGGTGGTGGTCTGTGGTCATAAATCAAGCCAGAACAACAAAAAAGTGAAAAAGGTAAAAGGAGAGATCCCTTACAACTCGAAGAAAAGAAACCCAAAAGCTTGGAGGTGACGGTGGAGCACCAAAGGGATTATTTGGATCTTGATCGCCGCAAGGACCCATGCCCATTCCGTAACCACCCATCGGGCCACCAAGACCACCACCGTACATCCCTCCATTATACATGCCACCTGAATACGCCCCCCGTATCCTCCTCTATATGCAGTGTTCCCATACATTCCACCACTATAGCCTCCAATTCCACCATACGAAGAGCCAAGCATTCCACCATACGAAGATCCAAGCATTCCCGTACTATACCCATTATTATAACCTGCATGAAAATAACAAAATCATCACGTCAAGAAAGCAACAAACCCATTATCGAGCCCTGCAAGGTCGATGTTATCGTGACAGATAGTATTTTAATCCATGCAATACTCCTTTTAAATTTTAATCTTCAGCCTACTACTTCCATTAGATACAAAATATTGTGATTCAATCGACGGCCAACATGAATTCAATGTCATTGGTTATGAATACAGCATAAATTACACATTACTAGTTTACCATGTGCATACACTTACAAACATTCGAAAGAGCTGCTAAATACCTGAATACATGGTTCCAGCGTTTTGTTGCTCCCAGGGCCTAGCGGGCACAGGTCTCCCAAGAGAATTTGTGGTAGCAACTGTATTCCCACCAGTGGCAGGAACAATTTCTCCCGGCCTCGCTGTTCCAGATGCCTCAACTACGTCACTTGTGCTTCCCGGCGATGGTGGCTTAAACGGTGTAGGGCCAGATGATGATGTTGCCGCTCGTTCCCACGGTTTAGGAGGAGGACTACTTCCTGCAACAGAAACTACAGATTATAAACTACCCAAAGGAAAGAAAACACAATAAGAAAATCACCAATTGAAAACCCGTGGAACGAGCATATAAATGGAATCACCAATTGAAAAAACAATTAAAAAAAGAATTTTATTTTCTCAAGAATTGCAAGTATAGAACTTTAAGAGAAGAAATAAGGATTATTATTCTTGTCTTGACCCAATTCAAAGATGTGATTCCAGATCAGCTGGATAAAACAGTGGAGAAATTAAAATAAAAGAAAAGAGAAGAAACCTGGTTGTTGGGAATTGGAGTCCATCAGCGAAGAAAATGTTGAGTTTTGATGGTTCTGTCCAATGTTGTGTTTTTATCACCGCGCCCACCTCTGTCTCAAAGAGGGGAGAGAGAGAGAGACGATTGTCAAATGGAATCCGTCGGTCAAATAATACTAGAGCCGCGTCTAACTAACAACGGGTGTGCTGATTTTGCCTCGATCCTTGTGCCTTCTATCTATTTACTCCATCCAACCCAAAAAAAGATGTACTTTTATCCCTTTATGTCAATATATTTTATTTATATTTTTTTAAATATTTGTTTTTAAAATTATATTTGGACAATAGTTTACCGAATAGGCTTTAATTAGAAATATTACAAAAAAATAATATTAATAATTATATTATATCGATATCTTTTATTCATATTTTTTTAAAAAATATATTTAGTTTTAGAATTATACTAGTTGGACACGCTATCTGTCATTGTGGGATAACCGTTATATACATAAAATCAATGATTAATATGATATAGAACGAATAAAAATCTTATTTCTCATAATTAATATAAATCAAATCTATTTACCGAACAAAATCATTTGATTTATATATATTTATTAACAAAATAATCAATAATATTAGTATAAAACATTATATTTGAATAATTAAAAGGTTCTTCGAAAACATTATTTCAATTATTTTATTTAAAAATATTGATTTTAGAACATAAAAAGAAATAAATAATAAATAATTGATGTTATGTATGCAAATACATAATTAATTTTTATATATATATATATATATATATATTACGATCATATTCAAGTAGATTCGAATATATAGTATAAATTTTTTTTAAAAAAATCTAAGTCTGTATGGAATATATTAAAATCAATAAATTGAAATAAAAACTATTACAAAATTTGTTTCCATAAATTCTTAATTTATGATGAAAGAGATTCTTGAATTGCAAATTAAATTATAAATTAATTCATCTCATTTTGAGAAATGAATGAATTAATTCTTTTGGTTTCAAAAATAAAATTTTTAATTTTTTAATCAATATTGATCACAAATAATTTATTTTTTTATTTTATAAAATGTCTTTTTTTCATATTTTACTTTTCTTTTTTTCTAAGATCATTTTTTTTAATCTTCCAATTTACCATTTTCTTAATTCTAAATGGTGGTCCTAAAAAACAAAAAGAAATGCAGTCTCTAGTTACCATTTTTATGAATCATTGAAATTTATTTGTACCTCTCTCTTTCCAATTCCTTATCTTAAAAACCATCTCTACCTCCCTTTGTTGCATTTATTTTTATTTTCCTCACCCGAGAATGAATAAGGATCACTAAAACAACCTAACATAGGATTTCATGGTCTTTTTATACAATACTAAGATACTTTTGATCTGGATGAGATAATTTTCTTCAAAAAATAAAATATCTTTTTTCATATTTTACTTATTTTTTTGTTTTTTCCCTATTTCTTAAAACAAAAAACAAAAATAGTAAAATGGTAAAAAGGATTAAAAAAAATTTAATTTTCAAATCAAAAGGACTAATTAATTTATTTCTCAAAGAATTATTATTTTGTTTTTTTCTAGTTCTTAAAACAAAAATGGTAAAAAGGATAAAAAAAAATTAGTTTTCAAACAAAAGTGACTAATTAATTTATTTCTCAAAAAAAGAGGGACCAAGAAGCAACAAAGAAATATATGAATAGGGACATTGAGTGAGAAGTTACAATAAGTGAATAGTCTCACCTTCACCTTTTTTTTTCTTATAATTTGGATAATATTTTACCAAATAGACTTTAACTAAAAATATTATAAAAAATACGTCATTTAAAATTTTGATGAAACAAGTATTTTAAAATAGATATAAATAAAAAGATAGACAATCTTTATCGTACAAAAAATATATATTTTATTCATCTATCATCAATTCTTTTTTGCATCAATTAATATTAAATATATCATTTTTTTGAATCATATTAATTTCGAATTATATCTAAACTTTGTCGGATATTAAGAACTGAATTTTTTGAATCCATCATTAGCTTATATCTAGTGTAGTACGAGGTTTCGACAAACATTTGATCTCATTAGTCAAAAACACTTCACCCACAATATTCGGTGGTCTATCCATCTATTACACTCTGTTTGGAATCCCCTTATTTTGATGGAATTGAATTCAATTGATAGAATTGAATCCAAATATCTCGTTTGGATAATTGTAAGCAATAGAATTGGGAAGAATAAAATTCATTTGGGAGCAAAAAATGAAGATTTTCGTACGTAAAGAATTCAACAAAAAAATGGTGTGATTTGTGTAGAATTCTATTGGCTTTCATGACTAAAAGTGGGTCCCATTCCCTCTAAAATAAGAAACCCATCTTTACCCTTACTTTATCACCCGGAAACCCTAAAATCCGGTTCTTCTTCCCACTAAAGACCATAACTTTTCCTCTCCGAGCAATCATTTCATTCCCATTGGTATCTCATCTCCATTGATAGATCAACAACCCACAAAATCAAAGGTTTTTTTACTCAAATCTCATCCTTTTTTCTTCTATCTTGTCTTTAATGCAATTCCGCTTCACCAAACGCAAACCCTCTGCAGGTAATTTTTTTATTTCATCGGCACCTATTATTTTTTTTATGGCATATTTTTAATTTTGATGATGCTTTGAGCGTTAGGGTTTTTACAATCATGTAGAAATCTTTACTTGATATTGGTCTTGACATTGGTTCTACTTAGGCATGTTTACGGCATTTTAGCAATAACCCATATTGTAATGACCTTGACACCTTGTTATGGACTTACAAAAATAAAATAAAGAATTAACTAAGTCGTAACTTAGTTTCGATTTTTCTCAATTAGAAAACACGGACAAGAAAAAAAATTAAAGCCAAGTTAAGTCGTAACTTTAAGAACCCAAAAATAATGTAAACAATGACGAGATAGTCCAAGGAATTGAATAAATGCCGAAGCCAGTTCAAACCGATAAATTATTGATGCAAGCCTATGAAAGCCAAAAAGAACGAAGGATTAAATTAAGAAGAAAAAAACGATAAAGGTAGAAGCTTTATTACCTATTTGATGAAACCGAGAAAGACCACAAGAAAGGAAACAACAAATTTTATGTCATTTTTTGTTCATTGTTCAATTTTGGCTTCTCCTTTTTTTGAGCTATGAATTCTCTGGAGGGTGGTTTCGCCTACCATGCTTGGAATAAACAAAAACATAATTTCAGTTTGTTGCTACAGAGATTCAATTATTTTTGTGCAAACAACCTATTTTTCAACTTGCTACTACTATCTGTTTTATTTTGTTATGTTTGTCGTTGTTTTTCTTCACTTGGAGTTTGATTTACTATTTTTAATTATCTTTCACTTGATTAAAAAATTCATGAATATAGGTGACATTATGACGGATTTTGAGAGGAAAGCTCGCTTTCTTTGATTGCTTATGTGGGTTATGTAGTATTTTTAGTTAAACTCTATCAATATGCATCTCATTTAGATAGACCAGTTTCTAAATCAAATAAGGATAGAGAAGAAATTAGACAAGAATTCTTTAGGACTTTAGAGACAAGTGAAGATTCACGTGATATAATACGTATGAGACCCAATGCTTTTCGACGATTAGTTTCAATTTTACAAGGAAGAGGTCTTTTGAGAGATAGCCAATATAGTACAATCGAGGAACAATTAGTTAAATTCCTCCATATTATAGGATGTAATGTTCGTAATCGTACTCGTGAAATTTTTCTTTTATCGATCGAGTGAGACTCGTTAGCCGTCATTTTCATCAAGTCCTTAGGGCAATTATATCCCTTGAAGTTCAATTTTTAGTCTAACCAGATGGTTCCATAATTCCACCGTAAATACACGAGAGAAAGGAGATACTATTCATATTTTAATGTATGTTTTATTAAATTACAGCAATCATTGACTTCATGTTTATATTTGAAAATGCTAACTTTAATGTGAAATTTGAAGAATTGCATTGGTGCTATTGATGGAACACACATTCGTGTTAAAGTTCATAGAGATCAAGTGGCAAGATATAAAGGAAGAAAAAGGATCCCTACAATGAGCATTTTGGTCGTATGCACATTTAACTTAAAATTTACATATGTGTTACTTGGGTGGGAAGGTTCTGCATCGATTCAAGAGTGTTAGAAAATGCTTTAAGTAGGGAGGATAAGTTACAAGTCCCTCAAGGTAATACAAAAACTAGTTCATATAAACTTTTTTCATTATGCCATTGCATGCAATTTGTAAAATTTTTACAGAGTTTATGATTTTTTAGGTAAGTTCTATTTAGCAGATGCGGGATATATGTTGCGATCGAGATTTATTACTCCATATAGAAGCACACATTATCACTTGAAAGAATATTCCCAACATGGTCCCGAAAATGCAAAAGAATCGTTTAACTTGCGACATGCTTGTTTGAGAAATGCAATTGAAAGAAGTTTTGGTGTATTAAAGAAGCGTTTTCCAATAATTGCAAGTGGTACCGAGGCACAATATGATGTAAACACTCTTTCCGAAATTGTAATAGCATGCTCGTATTTTACATAATTATCTTATGGGTGTGGATCCAGATGAACAATTAATTTCGAAGTTGATAGGGAACTCATGACGAACCAACTTGACCATGAAATTGGTTCAACATATATTGTAAGAAGCGAGGATGGTCGAAGAGGGGAAATGATAAAGGAAGCTATTGCTGCAAAGATGTGGCATGATTACACTTCTCGAAGAGCTATTTAAATATCTTATACTACGTAGTCTTGAAATATATTATTGAGATGCTTCTTGTTCTTTTTTTTGGTATAACCTATGTATGATTTATTTTTGTAATTTAATGGATCTTATTTGTTTTTTCTAGTTGTTTGCTTTTTTCCATTAAGCAATGTAAATGTTAACATTTAGTTCTACTTGGAACCCTTTTTTTCCTTTCAATATTTAACATGGAAGAACTTGTATTTTGTTCATGATTTGCATTTATAGGACAAGTCATGGATGAAGTACGAGAGGTTACTAATGTTAATGGCCAATAAGGTAAGAACAACAATGATGGTTATTTTAGATGGAGTGTAGAGATGGACGGATTGATGCTTGGAGGTGTTTAAAGAACAAAAACTCAAAGGACAAAAAGATGTTAAAAGCTTATCTGCTGAAGCTTATCGAGTTGTGGTTGCGAGAAATGAATGAAAAGTTTAGAATCAAAATTACAAGGTAGAAAATTGTTAATCGCTTGAAGACTTTGAAAGATCAAATGGGTTTGGCATTGATAGTCTTGATTCAAAAGAGTGGTTTCTCGTGGAATGATGTTACCAAAAAGATAGATGCTAAACCAACTGTTTGGGATGACTTAATCAATGTAAGATATATATTATCATTGTAACTTTTACACCATTATTGTAGATTTAATGTTAAATCAAGAATCGATGCATTAGTTAGTTGGATCTTCAATTGACATGCACTCGTTGTAGTTATATAAAACCAAATTTAAGTTCCTTTTAGCATCCCTCACAAATTCTTATATATTTTATTTAAGTTTTTTTTTTTTTTATGTTTTTAATAGAAGTGACTTAGTCAATTTGCATTGCTTGTTAATTTTAGTTCGATGGTTCTAGAAATAGCCAAACATGTGGATTAGATACTATTCGATTATTTATTTTGTGAATAGGCTAATGACAAGATGAGGTTGATTCGAGATAAACAACTTTTCAATTTAGAATTGCTACGCGAGATCTATGAAAAAGATCGAGCAACCGATGATGGTGCCGAGAGTGCTAAAGAGAAAGTTCAAAGATGGGAAAGGGAGCAAAGAGAGATACGGATTGAGGATATTGATGAGATGCAAATAAACAATGAAATACATCCGGAGAACTTTTCCTCCTTCGATAATCATAATTCTTCATCAACACCAAACAATCAAGCACAAACCACATCTATACTTGATGTAACGAGCTTCGTCATCGAAAGAAGTCTCTTTCAAAGGAACTAAACGAAAGGCACAAATAATGGAGGAGATATAAGAAGTAACCGGTGTTATGAAAGGCATAGCACAAGCAATTCTAAAAACTAATCGTCGTATTTGGGCGGAAGAAGAAATCTTTGTTGCGATGGAAAAGCTCGATTTGAAAAGTACATTGCTCTTAGATTCGGTTGATTGGCTTGTAGCTCATCCGAGCCTTATTGGGACATTTTTTGCATGTCCGGAAGATCTTCGCATGGAATGGCTTATTAGAAAAATGAACAATTGAAAGGTTACAAGTTCTTTTTTGGAAGTTTGAAAGTTATCAAATGTACCCTTTTGTGTAATAGGTAACTACATCACCAACTTTATTAACTTTTTGTTAATATTGAAAGCCAACTATAGGTGCATTGGGTTTAACTTGAATATGTAAATAGATTTGGATATGCATTATTGTAAAGATATAGTTGTGAAGTTTATTGTAATTAATATTACAGCCTTTGCATGCTTAATTCAAGTATGAAAATTATTTTGTTAATTAAGAGAAACCAATGTACCGACATTTGTTTTCTAGTAGACTAAAATTCAATTTCAAGGAAGAGCGAGGATTGTAAAGGAGTAGGAATATAGAAAAATGATATTATGGTAAAATTATAACAGTTCAATTCTTTCTCAAATTCTTCTAAACAAGAGAAATCAATTCAATTCTATTAATTGTATATTCATTCCAAACACATGAATTCTATCGGTAAATGAACCGAATTGAATTTTACTTACTAAATTGAACCGAATTCCATCCTAGATTTGGTTCCAAACGAGGTGTTATTGTTATTATTGTTGTTGTATTTTCTTTTTTCTTTGGAAATTAGACTTTGATATGTTATTATAGTTTTATTTTTTCAAAAATCTTCAAAGAACACATGGACCGTAAAATTAATAGATGATCACATTTTAAGATCATAATCCAATAATCTATGTATATTCTTAGAGGTTTTTTCTTGTTATATTTTTTTTAATCGGAAGATCAATATGAATGTTGTGAAAAGAAATTTGAGATAAGAAAAAAAGCTTGCTTCTAATTCTTATGAGCATTTTACAATCTTCATTGGATATTTGGATAATTGGATTATGAAATGATATATTTCTATCTACAAGAGGTGTTTGTTTGTTTGAAAGTCATCTCATTCGATTGTTTGAAATTAAAGGATTAGGATGTAATCACAAAAAAGTTAAAAACTTTTTAGGACATATGTTAGCAATTGTTGGAAAAAGCTAACAAAGAAAATCGCAAGTCATTGAAGTGCTAAAAATTAAGGTAGTGCTAACAACATTTTCTTAAATATATATTTTTTAAATACTTGATTAATAAAAATATTTGTATCAAATTATCAAATAATACTAAAGAAAAGATAACCGATGTTTCATTTTCTCATAAAGTTTTTAATTATAATCAATCTCATATTATCTAAAATATTAAAATACCTCTTGTTTATTTGTTTATTTTAAAAATTATATTAAAAGATTTAACATAGATATTTTTATTAAGTAAATATTTAAAAAATAATGTTAGAGAGAATATTGCTAACCCTCTTTAAAATTTAATACTCCGTAATCCTTTAGCTACTTGGGATGTCCCAAGAGATACGGGACGAGACAGAACAATGCAGAAAAAACAAAATATAACTGGAGATGGAGATAGGACTGTGTTTGGTAACAACGTACAAATCATAACAATTATCTTAGTATCTTGTTTGATGTATGATGGACAATACAATACGGTAAGTAGAAATTTTTTTTAAAAAATTCATATATTATTTTGTTCACTTAATCTTTCAATCATGATATTATTTTTCCTTTCACAATATGGAAAATTTAATTATTAACTCAGTAAAAATAATTTCTCTCTTTAATTTTTTATGTAAATTTCGAAGGAAAAAAAAATGATCCTCAGGTAAAAATAAACCATGACACGAGGCTCTCTCTCTCTCTCTCTCTCTAAGATGATTGTGATTCTTGATTGCACGTAAGTATTGCAGGTTATTGGTAGCGATCTACAGGAGCAAAAGGAGGAGAGGAATTAATTTGATTAAGAGCAAATATTAGTTTTTTCAATGGAAAAAGACGTGAGATGGTTGCTTTTAGCAATTTAGAGTCTAATGGACTTCCTATTTTTCTGGTTTTAGCTGTTCTAAAAAAAGTTAGTTAAAGATTTCAAATAAGTAATTAATAAATAACTTTATACTCGATTATTTCACTTTAACAGTGAAAATGATTTCACTTATCAGAAATAATGGGTTCCACTTTAAGAAACATGGCAATAGATGTTTTTTGATACGAAAGATTGGCTTCTTCTTTTTTCTTTTTTTTTTCTAAGGACAAAAATAGAGTTAAATTTTTTAAAGTTAAAAAATTTTCGATAGTTCATATTTACCTCGACATCTATTGCAATACAACAAATGTTATAATTATACATTCTTAATCTTATATCCACAAATATAAGTATCATATATAGTTACCATACAAATGATACTTGCATTTTTTTATTTTGTAAATATTTAAATAATTATGAATATTTTTTATGAATAATAACGAACATTTTACCTTATTATATACTATTAATGTTAAGAAATATATAAATAAGTTAATTTTCATAGGATTTTTGAATTTGAACATAAACAAGTAAAAAAATTGTAAATAATATGATTTTTCTACATAATATAATAATGTCAATTTTTTAATATAAAAAATAGCTACTAAAAGTTTATGATAACTTTATATGTTTTATCGTCATTTTTAATTCAAATGGCACAATCATAAAAGAAAAAAAAATCACAACACAATACCATATATAGTTTATTATTGAACAACAATTTAATTGCTTTACTTTACAATATAATGCAGTACAATTAAAAATACCTTAAAAATAGCCAAACACGGTATAAGGAATTTGGTTTTGGCTATGGAATTAATCTAGTATTTTTAAACAGACTTTGATACTAGCATATTTTCCACGCATTACTATGGGGTGAACTATATAATATTTTTATGTGTTCATTCATATACAATACAAAATTTAAAAATAATTATTTCAAAGGCTCACGTAAAAAAAATTCGATAAAAAGAACCAAAACATATATCTCATATTTTGCTACAAGGTTAACTAAACGAAAGTCTGTAAAATTAGATATTGTTTGATATAAATATGTATTTTTATTAAAAATATTTATAATAACTGATAATTAAAATAATAATTTTGAACTTTAGATGATTAGTTTTTACCATATATTCTTCATATATAATTTGTTGATGAGATAGAAAGATCATTCAAAACAAAAAGACAAAAAAGCTTTGTCAAATCAAGAATTTGGCAAAAAAAAAAAAAAAAGAGATAAAATTACACATGATAAAAATTAACTGATCAAAACAAAATCAAGATCATAAAAGAAGGATCAATATAAATAAATAAATAAACTCTCACAAAAAGCAAAAAAAAAAAAACTTATAAACTATAAGACTAAAAAAAAAATCATTATGCATGCATAAGGCAAAAACAAAAGTAAAACATGATAGAATTTAATTTTACTAAAGAAGAAAATGTTTTTTACTAGAGCAAAAAAAAAAAAAAACTTAGAATAATGAAACTGTATTTAATTTTAGTGTAGAAAGAATAATAATCCAATATAATAAAACTTTAATGATCAAAATAAAAGAAAGATCACAAAATAAAAATCAAAACATAACAAAAAGTTTTACTAAAAGTAAAAAAATAGTTCCTTGTAAGAAAAAAAATCAAATATAATAAAAATTTAATGATCAAAATAAAAAAATTACAAAAAAAGGGACTCAAATAAAAATAAAATTCTACTAAATTTAATGATCAAAACAAAGAAAAAAATCACAAAATAGGAATTATAATAGAAAAAAAAGTTTCACCGAAAGCCAAAAAAAAAAAAGCTTAGGATAGTGAAACTTTATTAGTTTTAGTATAGTAAGGATAAAAATTAAATATGATAAAACTTTAATCATTAAAATAAAATTAAAACAAAAAAGAACATAAATTTTTGCTCAAAGGCAGGAAAAAAACATTTATTATAGGAATAAAAATCAAATATAATAAAATTTTAATAACCAAAATAAAAAAGGTTACAAAACAAGGACTAAAATAAAAATAAACTTCACTAAAAAAAAAGGAATGTAGCAAAAAAAAAAAAAAAAGACCAAAATAAAAAAAAGTTACATAAAATTCACTAAAAGACAAAAGAAGGAATGCAGCGAAAAAAATGTGATCAAAATTAAAAAAAAAAAGGTTACAAAATAAGGACTAAAATGAAAATAAAATTCACTAAAAACCAAAAGCTTGTGGGGATAAAAAGTCAAATATAATAAAATTTTAATATTTATTATAAGAATAAAAATCAAATATAATAAATTTTTAATGATCAAAATAAAAAATAATTATAAAATAAGGACCAAAATAAAAATACTTCCTATAAGCTTGGCTAAGTAACCTTAAAAAAAAAAAAAAAAAAAAGCGAATAGTGAATAAACTAGGAAAGTGCTACAGAACGTTCTCGTTTTCTTTTAGTATTTCTTGTAATTATATCAAAAACCCACTCGATCCAAAGGTTAGAATATAATTAAGGCGAGTTCTCATTAAAATTAACAAGACCTCAGGAATATAATCATTAGTTATGGTCTGATCTACAGATATGGTTGACTAATTATATTAAATAATTTCTCGTTACTAGAGATACTAATAAAAAGCATTAGTTATGGCTAAAGAAAAATCTAGCACACCCATGTTCATCTAAAAAAAAATAGTTGCAAAGGAGGAAAAAAATAATAATAGATTTGTGAAGGAAGAAAAGCGATCAAAATAAAGATTTCTTTAAAACATAATTAATATTTCCTTTCTTCTAAAGAGATTATCCTTTTTTTTTTTTTTAACAAAATACTTGTCTTGTAAAAACTTTAAATAACATATTTTCTTAAAATACTCAAAGAAAATCTTTTGTTTCTTTCATTTCTTC